CCAGGGCTGTGCCAGGCTGCCCAGGGCAGTGGTGGAGTCCCCACCCCTGGAGGGGTTTCCAAGCCATGGAGATGTGACGTGGATTAGGAGGAACCAGTTGGACTCGGTGGTCTTAAAGGTCTTTTCCAACCAGAATGATGCAGTCTTTGCCAGCCAAGATGGTGTGCAGTATTAACCACCACCTTTGCTCTGGGATTATAAAGGTCACTTTAACCTCAGGTCCTGTACAAGGATCAATGTGTTACTTGTCCAAGTGCCCTTCTGTAACCAATGTGCACTCTTGTTAAGATAGCAGAAGGCTGTTCCATTGATGAAGCTGTGATGAAACAGCCTTGTCAGAAGAAAGGGTACAGAGAGATTAGCAGGCAAGCCTGAAGCTCCAAAGGTGAAAAACATACAGGCTAAATATTTGCTAAAAGCCATATATATGTGGTGCTTAGTGACATGGTGTAGTGGTGGACTTGGCTATCCTGGGTTAATGGTTGGACCTGATGATCTTAAAGGATTTTCCATGATTCTATAATGCTAATTTTACTCTGGTCAAGAAATTTTTTCTGTGAACAATCCTAATGAAGCAGCATTAGGGAACAGGCAGTCCAGTGTGAGGTTATAGCATTTGAGGAGGAAAAAATGCACGTGGTAAGTTGTGTGCCAGGATTCTGCACAGTTTTTAATTGTCTTTGCTAATAGGACCTGGGAGGAAGGCTGAGAGGGTGGTGGCAGATGAGGCACAGTGCATGCCTGCTTTTCTGGAACACCCAGCACATGTTAATCTGAGCACATCCTACAGGAGCTATTGTGATTGACTTTAATTTTGGTATTTAGGGAAATAAAAGGAGCTCCTGAAAGCTGAGGGAGTCCCAGGTGATGGACAGAGAAAGCAGAGCTCTGTTGCTGAAGTCACTGCAAGGGCAGGGAGGTGCTGTCTGGGTGGTGTTCTTCCTGGTGGTCTCAGTCCTGTGCCTGCTCTGTTGCCAGGTCTCCCGAGGGATCACCCAGAAAGTTACCATTCCTTCATGTGGAATAACTTCTTTAAGCACATCGACATCTCAGCAGAAAATGTCCACATTTTGGATGGGAATGCAGCAGATCTACAGGCGGAGTGTGACGCCTTTGAGGAGAAAATCAAAGCAGCTGGAGGGATTGAACTCTTTCTTGGAGGTGAGACCCCGAGGACACCAAGCACTGGCAGGAGAGCTGCCTTCCCCTTGGCACCTGCCTCATTTCTTGTCCAGTGAGTTCATGCTCAGTGCAGTTGGGTGGGTGTGCAGTGAAGGGCACCCCACATCACCCAGCAGCCTTGCCTCCCAGTGCACTGCTCCCCAGTTCTAGCTGTTTCACTCCAGCAAGGGAATTGTTTAGGAAACAATCAGCAGGAGAAACAGGCAGGGCTGGAATAGGACCCAATACAAAATGTATTACAGTTGCCAGGGCTAACAGGGAACTCCTAGGAGTAGTCAGAGTCCTCAGAGCCAGTGAGAGCCCAGTGCAAGCTTTTCCCACCAGTGAAGACTCTGCCATCTCCTTTGCTTTACTGCTCTCCTGGCAGAGTTAGGTAAGAGTCTCTGGTGGCTTCAGAGAGGTCTGGTGCTGTCATTCCCACCAGAAGCACGTTTGAGCAGACAAATGGCAAGCGTGTTTCTTGGGTCTGTGTCTATTCCTGAAGGGCTGAACGTCCTCCTAACAGGAGTTGGCCTCTGACAGTGTCTGTCAGAGGCACTGAGCTGCTGCTCAGACTGTCTCTGTGACAGGTATTGGCCCTGATGGTCACATCGCCTTCAACGAGCCCGGCTCGAGCCTGGTGTCCAGGACACGTGTGAAGACCTTGGCCATGGACACCATCTTGGCTAACGCCAGGTTCTTCGAGGGTGACCTCTCCAAAGTGCCCACCATGGCTCTGACAGTCGGAGTGGGCACTGTGATGGATGCCAGAGAGGTGAGCAGAGCAGCATTGCACCCTGCTGGCACACAGCAATGGCCCAGCACCTCTCTGCCTCTCCTCCTCTGTCCTGCAGTGCTGTGGAAGGGCTCTTGCTCTGCCTTCCCTTCTTGCCAGCACTGAGTTTGTGTACCCCTGCAGCATGCTGAGATCCACAGGGAGCTGGGGAGGTTTGGGAGGGTGTCTACAGTCAAGTCTCACCTGGGGAAATAAGTGCGGGACTGGCTGATGGACTCGATGTGACACCAGCCCCATGGGGTGGCTTTTCCTTGAGGCTGTTCCTGGATTTATACCTGTTAAGTCTCAGTGTGTAGGTGGTGGCTGATGGACTCGGTGTGACACCAGCCCCATGGGGTGGCTTTTCCTTGAGGCTGTTCCTGGATTTATACCTGTTAAGTCTCAGTGTGTAGGTGCCTAACAGGGGAGCTGGAGGATCCAGATCACTGGTGACCCACCAGGCCATGATTTAATGGACAAGTCAAACACAGCCAGAGCAGACAGGCTCAGGAACTCTGGGGAGGACAAGGGATGTTGTCCTGCATGGGGCTGGGCAGCTCTCAGCTCAGCAGGGTGGGTGTCACCTCTGGACCTCCAGCTTTTTTTAGGACCCTAACTGCCATCTTCTGTGTCTGGGAGTCCAGGTGATGATTCTTATCACGGGAGCCCACAAAGCCTTTGCTCTGTACAAAGCCATCGAGGAGGGTGTCAGCCACATGTGGACAGTCTCTGCCTTCCAGCAGCACCCCAACGCTGTGTTCGTGTGCGACGAGGACGCCACGCTGGAACTCAGGGTGAAGACAGTGAAATACTTCAAAGGTGAGTGTTTGCCCAGGCCAGGCAGCTGTTGTGCTTGGGCTTTGGTGGCACAAGCCACGCCAGGCATGAGGTATTTCTGTGTGTACTCCTTCAGGAGTGATCATTCCTTCAATGTCCCAGCTGAAGCATCCAGCAGTAATGAAACTGCAGAGATAAACACTTCACCACGTGGGTGTGGGAGCAAAGGAACAAGGACTCTAATTAAACACCTCATTTCTTTAGCATCCCACAAAGAAGAATTTTGCTTTGTTCTGTCTGCTTAAGTCACTTTCTCCTTGCTACATCAGGTTTAATGCTGGTTCACAACAAGCTCGTGGAACCTTTGTACAGCATGAAGGAGACAGGAGCAGGAGGAGGGCAGCCCAAGGAGCCGTACAGCGACTGAGCTGGCTGCTCAGAGCAATGCTGAACCAGCTCTTCTGGGGAAAAACCAGCTGTGGAGAAAGGGAATTGCTGCAGAATTTGTTCTTTAATTAGCAGAATGATTATGTGCTTGCTTCTCTCCATTAAAAAGAGATGCAATACCTGCCTTAATTAGCCAAATGAGGATGGGCTCCAGGATACTGTGCTCCACAAACTTCCACCACGAGCTCATTCACTGAAGGGGAAGTCAATGGAGAGCGAGTTTAGTTTAATTTATGAAGCAGCTGTAATGATGTGGACTGAAGGCCCAGAACTTCAGCATAGAGATATGTTGAGGTACAGTGCTGCAGAAACCAAATGGGGTCACTTTGGGGTGTATTCCTTGCAGTTGGGACAAGTACCTTTTTGTGTCACTCCCCTCCACAAAACACTCTCACACTGGAGTCCTTTAAAATGGGACCTGAGGCTGGTTGGCCTGGGGAAGGAAAAGCTCCACCCAGCATGACCCACCAGCAGTCTGCTCCACAGCTACAAGGGGCTCAGCAGGGAGAGGAACCTGGGCTCCTGTGAAATGCTGTAGAGTGAGGGGTGAGAAACTGAGCAGCATTGATTTTCTTTATGTGGACATTTTGGAAGCTGTTGATCTGTGATGTAATTTCCTACAGTAAATGACTTGATTTTTTTCTACATGGTGACAAGACTGTATCTGGTGCTGAGTGTCAGTGTGCTGGTGAAACGTGGAACAGTTTGAGGAGGACTCCTAACACCATCTTTGAACAGAACAAGCCCTTCAGAGCACAAAGGAAGGCCTGTCACTTAGTGCAGGGTTTCTGTCACCTAGAACCAAGGCCACGCTGAAGGCAGCTGGTAGAAAGAGCTGCTGCTCCCTGCTTCAGGAGCTCCCCCTGGGCCAGTGTTTGCAGGTAGGGTTCCAGCAAACACCTGCCACAGCCCTGTCCTGCCAGGCAGCAGCAGCCCTTGCACAGAACAGTGGGGATCTTTAAAGGGAAGAGGAGGAGGTGACAGTTCTCCACCTTTTACCACAGAACATCTGCAGAAAACCTGCCACTCCCTCTGTGTGCCCACAGAAATGGAGCAGCTGAGGTCCACGAGAGGGGAAAAACCTGAGGCAAAAACTCTGTGCCCCATTGCCAGGGCTGCCTGCCTGGTTCTGTTGGCAAAGGCAGGTCTGTCTTGGCTGCCCCACCTTGGCAACACCAGCTGGTTGTTCTGGGTGCAGCCCCCTCCTTGTCCCCTCCTCTGCCTCACTGCAGAGTGTGGGAGCTCCAGCCCAGGGGTCCCCGAGTGCCCAGAACTTAGGGACACAGTGGTGACAACACCTCTGTTCCTCCTCTCTCCATAAGAAGTTCTGGAAGCAGAGGTAGCTCACTGCTTCAAGTCCTTCACCACAGTGCTGATGCTCTGCTAGCTCTGGCAGACAGCCCCAGCCTCAGCTTCTCACCCAACACCCCCCTGGGTGTGACAAACATCCCC